TAAGTTTAAGTTTAAGTTTTAGTTTTAGTAATTTAACCTTAAAACCTTAAAAGTAAGTTACTTACTACTACAAACGAAAACTAACTACTAGTTATTATCGTACCTACTAACTACTCTCTCTCTCTCTCTCTCTCTCTCCATAGTTGATGGGCTGCATTTAACCTGGTTTTTATGTGTAGGAACGTGAGGAGAATATGCAAAAGGAAATTCTCGACTCAGAGAAAGTGCTCAACCCTGACATTAACCAGGAGTCTTATTCTGAAGTTACCAATATGACGTCAAATGGGAAAATGGGTGATTTCGGAGGAGCTCACTTGACTGTTAGAGTGGATCCCCGCATTGGTTTATCTCATTTTTCATCATCGACGATAGATTCTTCAGCACTTGCTGGCACAAATGCTGAACGTCTGAGTGATAGATTTGTTTCCAAGTCCTTAGCAGGTGGATTCATCTCTAGCGGATCTCAGCAAGAAGGTACACTTGACTTCTGTGCGTCATTCAGTACTTTCGATTTGTGACAATTTCTTTTAAAGAAATATTGGCAGTGAAGATTTTCTTCTAGTGAAAAAATGGGATTGCTATGCTGCTATCTAATGTCTGTGGGAGTTTCTAAAATTTTTAGAAAAATTATCTGGAAGTTTTATTAACTAGAAATTCCATAGAACAAGACTTATCATTTATCACTATGACAACACACTGCTGATAGCTTGTAAACATTTCCTCTTCAGACTCCTCTTTTGGGCAAGAGGGAAGAGCTGAGGAAACGAAGAAAGAAGATCACTCAAGTGTAGGCATGCATGTTGATCTCAAGTCCCCAGCTCTTGCAAAACCAGTATGTTCAAAGTCTTTGTTGCCAGAATTCTATTATTTGTGAACTTTCTTTGAAAGAGAAAGTGTGAACTAACTTGAAGAAATCTTTGTATCAGGTCAATGTAGCGACTGTCCAGATGCTAAAGAAGCCTAGTCGAGCTTTTGGAGCATTGCTTGGAAACTCAGCCTCTAAGAGAAAGATTAACATTGATTCTAAATTGAGTACTTGGGAGCAGGTAATTACTTCGTTACTTTTCTGTAGGTCCAAAATTTTGAATAACAATGCAGAGAGAGAGAGAGCGGGACCGGGGGGGGGGGGGGCGGGTTGGGTCTCGAAATGTGCTGTGTGAATAAGAGAGAGAGAGAGAGAGAGAGGAGGAGGGAGGAGAGGAGAGAGGGAGGAGGAGGGAGGGAGGAAGTAGTAGTAAGTGGTTGTGTGTGTGTGTGTGCGAGGGGGAGAGAGAGAACCCCAATCCAGAACTGAGTAATTTTGCGAGCTTATTAAATGTCTAAAATGGAGGAGTTGCTCTTTCATTCCCTTTTTCCTGACAAATGTTCTTAAATTGAATTACATGACTACTGTGGAAGATCAGCCGATATTTTCATACTTTTTAGAAGGATCTACAATTTCCTTACTTTTTTAAACAGGAAAAGGCTGAAAGTAAGGTCGAGAAGATCAAATCCTCGGTAACTCTTCCATTCCACTCATTCTCTGGCGAAATCACAAACTTGAAACCCCGACCTAAAGAAGGCCCAGATCAAAGGGAGTCCCTGCCTCCCAAAGATAATCTTACCCCAATTGAGAGCAACAAACCAGAGGGAATCATATTGTTAGAGAAAGAAACCGGACTTTCTCCCACAAACAAGGATCAATCGGACAGCCAAACTTGGCTCCCTCAACTTGAGGAAAATAACATAACTGAACCCATGTCTCTCTCTGATTTATCATCAAGCTTTCAAAAATGCTTTCAGAGTTTGAATCAGATGAAGAACCCAAAGCAAGGGGCACCTTCTAAAGGGCTGAGTTTCGGAGAAAATGGAGGAAGCTTAGAGGGGTTCGAGCCTTTTGACTATGAGGCAGCAAGAAAACAGATGAAACTGCGAGGGAAATGCGTTGAAGGGGAGAGTGGTAGAGAAATGTTACCCAACAAGGGAGAAAGTGGTCGTGCTCAGGCAAAGGATAGGAAGGTGGGGAGTCAGGAAGATGATGATATTCAAGGGGGAAGGCGCAGGCAGGTCTTTCCGGCTTCGGGGAACCGTAGTGCCACATTTCGGTCTTGAAATCTCTCTCTCATCAACATACAGATGATACCCTCTTAACTCTCTTTATGCCAACACACAGGACAATTGCCACATCTCGCTCTCATGCTCAAGGACAACCACCCCCGCCCCAAAAAAAAAACACAACCAACCTCAAAAAAAACCAAAAAAAAAAAATCCTGCAATGGTAGTGTATGATTCATGCGCAACATTGAGTTTTAGTTATTTGGTTTAAAGGGGAAGTTATTGTGTGTTCCCTTTCTTCTCTTCTAATAACTTTTTTCTTTTTTTTTTCTTTCAGTATAAGTAGTTTTATTTTGGAGGTTTGAATATCTGTCAGGCCCTTCTCTTTTTTGCTCAACTACAAGGGCAAGACCCACTTCTATCCTATGCTCAAGAAAACACCAACCTGCCTCGCGCCTCCCCCCCCCCCCCCCTTTCCTCTCTCACTCACACAGTGGGGAAGCTGGATGTGTGCAACATTATCCTTCTTTGATTAAAGTAGAATTTCTTGTGCCTTTCCACTCTTTTCTGGCAGCAACTACTTTTCTAAAATGATCGAGGCTCTCTCTCTCTCTAGTATATTTATATATCAGGACAATTCTCTCCTTCACTATACCCGTCCCTTTCCTGTTCGTTTCAAGTTTTTGTCTGCTTTTGGTCCATGGAAAACCGACTGTCAGGAGAGGCTCACCCCCAATCCTAGGTTGGATGGTGAATGGTGATGGAGGAGGTGGAGGCCACTCCAAATGCTGGGTCCCCCTCTCTCCAACGTGGAAGATGCTGGTGTTGTGGTCGTGTACTTTATGAGGAATACTATTTTTATGGTTTACTTTCCATATCTAGGTCATAGATTTTTATTTGGTTTTTTAATTTAAATTTAAAAAGGGGTTATATACTATAAGACCATTTATTTTTTTGGTCACAATTTTTTTTATTGGATGTGGAGTTTGTTAGATTAAAATGTATCATATACATTGTAGTGTTGAGGGCCTTACTTTAAAAATGAGCTGATAAATTTAAATGGCTCATCATGGATTTAATCATGTCCATTGGAGTTCTATTTCTCTTTCTAGCTACATCATTTGTTGTGGTGTATATTGCATAGTTGTTTGGTGAATTATATCATGCTCGTTACAAAATTCGGTAAATAAGACGAAGCAATATTCATCTCTTCTATCTGTTCAAAGAATTTTAATATGTCTGTCTAATTGATTTTCTACCTCACTTTTATTTTCTTTAATGTTTCTAATGCATCTGATTTTTTACTAATTAGGTGTGCATATCCATAATGTGAATAATCATTTATAAACGTTATGAAATATTCCATACCTTTGTGGTTTTACATTTAATGGGCCACATATATCAGAGTGAACGATACTAAGTAGTTTATTAGACTTTTTCCCTTTAGGGAAAGGTTTTTTAGTTAATTTTTCAGAAATACATAGCTCACATGTATTAAACACAATTCTTCTAAATTGGGGAGTAAACTTTTTTTTAACCATTTGATTCATTTTATCGATATGCCTTAATCTTAAGTGTTATAAATATGAATCATCCATACAAGCAAAACCATCAAAAGACGCATCAGAATAACCAGAAAAAGGTGAACTTTCATTAACATTCAATCGGTACAAATTGTCAACTTTAGTACCATATACCAATGCTTTAGAATACTTTTAATGGTGACCCGACTAGACTTGAATCTTATTGGGCCTCATATTGGGTGCATATTGGGCCTCATTGGGTGCATACAATGTCTCAGTCATTAAGAGATTTGTTCTTCCTGGTGAACACAACCTGAAAGTACCAACACCTAGTACATTGTAATAAGTGTCATTTCCCATGTAAATCTGCTGGTTATCGACTGTAATCTCTTTCAATTCTATGAATCCGTCATTCATCCTCGAGACATGTCGAGTGGAACCTGAGTCAAGCCACCAATTTCTTAGGTTATGGTCGGCAACTATTGATTCTAGGATTATGCAGATCAAGTCATTATTTTATTTTGATTATTTCGAACAGAGTTGTTATACTGGTTCCTATTTTTATTTTTCAGTTTAGGACAATTAAACTTGATGTGCCCAATTTTCATATAATAAAAACAAGTGTTCTCAACTTTATTTTTTTGATTTTGAAATTTCTCTCATTTCCCTTATACCTATTATTTTTATTATTATTAAAAGGTTTCTTGGGGATCTGAGAAGATGAACTTTGGGCAAAGTGAAGCCCATTTGACTTCTTCTTCATTTTTCTCTCAGCTTCAATACTGAGATGCATGGGAAGATTTAATTTGGTTATCCCTTATGCAGAATGGTTCAATGCGATTACAACAGACTCCCAAGATGCAGGGAGACTGTTAAGGACAATGGACACTTGCATGCAGTCGATGATTGGATTCTCGGCTGCAGCAAGGTCCTTTATGAGCACTATCATTTTATTGACATACTCAGTCACTAAGTCCGATTCTTTCATTCTACAAGAATTGTATTTTTCTAAAAACAATTGTACATGGGTCTCAGAAGTGGTCTCATACTTTTCAGATAGAGCACCCATCATACTTTGAGCTGTGATGTGATCCTCAAATACTCTAGTCAAATCATCTTCTATAAAACTCAACATAGTAGTCCTAGCTACTTTGTCATCTTCTAACCATTTTTTAAGTCGCCTTCTGGCATGACCATTAGCATTAGGCTCTAAAACTAGTGGTTCAGTATATAAGACATTCTCTACCCTATTTTAGAAAAGAATAAATCCAATTTTTCTTTTCCACATAGAAAAATTGGTCCCATTGAGTTTTTCAAGTTTGGATAGTTCTAGCCTAAATGTCATTTTAAATTTTTAGATAATTCTTAAAAGTTCAAAAAATTTAATTGTGTTTTAAAAAAGGGTTATCTGCTAGTTAAATCAATAAGTTTGCCGACTCTCAGTGAGCTGAACCTCAAAGAAAAAATTTCTCGAACAGGTTATGTTCGCACTGCTGTGATGCAACAAAAAATTAATAAAGTAAAACACCAACTACTTTTATGTCAAATCTTGCATAAGAAATAATTTTCATAAATATGTGAATATGTCTTAGCACAGCAAGGAGAGTCTACCATGATATTTGATATTTTTCAATGAAAATACGGCATTGCATAATCACACAAAAAAAAATATTCACAAAATCAAGATTATGAAATTTTTTAACTTAAAGAAACCAAAGCTTAGGATAATTATGTAATGCAATGACAATTATTATGCAAATAAAATATGTCGAAAATCTCTAAATTATAGGTCACAAAAAAAATAAAAAATACAATTGATATGCACTAATTTTCAATAATAAAAAAAAATATATACACTAATTTTCAACTACACAGAGAAGAGATGGAAGAAAGAAGATGCAAGCAGACTGATTTTCAGCAGTCCATGGTCAGTAAAAAGTATATAACAGTAAGGAAATCTACCATTGAGAATTAAGGTTACAGTCGTGGATTGCAGGGCGCGCAAGAAAAACAACGATAATCAAATTTATGCTAGATAATCAATTAGCTTGAAACTTATGTGGTTGAAACTTGCATGGAAATTGGCTAGATAAACAATTAACTTATAGCTATAGTGGGATTTTTTTATAAAAAAAGGTTATTTACAATGATAATCAATTAGAAATTTCTAGCAGAAGTTATTTACAGTAGGGGGTTATCGCTACATTGAGACTTACGTGCATATCAATTAGCTTGAAACAATCAAGTCGAGAAAGGGTGAAGTAAAATTTTCACAATAAATATTATCTTTACAGCAATAGCTCTATCTCTCTCTCAACAATTGTTAACAACGACTTTTGTTTCTCAACAAAAGTTCTCTCTCAATTTGTTGCTGTTGATTTCTCTCTCTCTCTCTCTATTTGGTTGCGTATATTTCTCAACAAAAGTTTTCTCTCTATCTTTTCTTTCTCAATAACCCTATGTTTCAACAACGACTTTTGTCTCTCAACAATTATCTTTGCTCTATCCCAAAGCTAAAATACTCGCAGCCAATTTTATTTTGAGCCGTCCACAGCGACTTCTATAGAAAGAGTTCGCCTCAAAAAAAAAAAAATGGCTACACCTTAGCATGCAAAAAAAAAAAAGGCATTAAAAAAAAAAAGATTTTACCTCGATGATGAGCAATAAATAAAGGCGAAGGGAGAATAAAAAAAATATATGATTTGTTTGTCTCTGTCTTTGCGTAATTATGTTGCAAATTTAGATAAAATAAAATATGATAATCGATGAACATGAATTAAATATGGAAATAATGCAAAGAGAGCAAGAATCAAATAAAAAATAAAAAAATAAATAATAGAATCTGGGAACTATAGGTTATGAGCCAATTACACTTCCACAACCCGCTTTGATACCAATGTTGGATTATGAGGGAAGAGATGAATTCCTAAATTCCCAAGATTAGGGGCAGTATCGTGAGACAGAAGATTGTAAAGTGGAGCATTTTCTTGAACAATAAGAACTCAAAGCTTCACTGTGTATGCCTCTCCATGGCCATGAAAGGCCTAGTTATAAATAATAGAGGAGATCGTTCTCCAACATTCGGTTTTCTCTTTAAAACTCTGAAAAACGTGGGCCTGTAATATTGGAATAGGAGTGGTTATTTTCTACCCACTTTCACTCTCTAAAAAGGGCCTTTATTTAGTGATAACATAACATTTAAAGATTAAAGAAAGAAAAAATCGCATATATGAGGGCTCGATGCCACCCATACGTACCAACACAAACCACGTTATTCTATCGAATAAATGGCCTTAAAAGTGAGTAAAGTATATATAAGATGAAATTCGCTTAGGAATGGACTTTAGACAAGGGTGGTCAAGGTGGCAGGTACTATGACATGACTTTTGAGTTCCATTCCTACCACAAAAAATAAAAGAAACTACCTATGTTATGGGCATGTGTCCATGTGTCACTAAATCTTTTTTTTTTTTTGTTTGAAAACTGTTTGTTCGTTCTTCATAGAAAAAGACTAGCATTTTCCTGTCCTAGCATGTTTTATATAACTTTATATGATGTAGTCTCATTTTTTTCACATGAAATTTTATTTGGGGTAATAATGAATATTTTCTTTAACAAAGGCAGGAGGAACTTGAGAAAAATATCAGTATGATTGAAAATTGAACAATTTTAGAGACTCTTTAACAAAAGCAGGAGGAACTAAAGAAAAGAAAAAACTGATTAGAGAAAAATATCAGTATGATCGGAAATTGAACAATTTTAGAGACTCTTGAGAGAGGA